TGCTTGCCCTTGGAGAGGCTGTGGGGGATGGCGTGACTGCTGCCGTTCAAGCCCAGCCCAGTCTGAGTGGGCGTCTGAGCAGCCCCACCGTTCTCCACCTCTGCCTGCCTCTGGAGCTCCAGGCCAGTTGGCCGGGGAGTGTGACCCCCGGCTCGGAGCACACGGGGCAGTGTGGCGAAGGCTGGGGCCCGTCCACCCTGCCTGACCCGTCTCGGGCCTCCCTTCCTCTGCTGTTGGCCCTGGAAGCCTGCTGTGTGGGCCCGTGCGTCTTACACTGCCGCCCAGCGGTATCCAGCCGCTTATTCTCTGAACCCGTGGCCTGGCTCACACATTCCACGTACTTTCCCAGCTCACATAGGCAGCGCATCCTATAAAATCCTGGCTTCGAAATGGACCATGGGGGCCAGCGTGGCCGCCATCTCCTGCTTCTGCCTTCAACTTTATCTCTGTGTCCTCGGGGACCTGAGACGTGGTTTTCTAGCCTCTGCAAGGTGTCCAGTTACCATGGTTACCACAGGCCCAGGAAGAAGTGCTGTTGACTTCCTGCAACCAGCCGGGCTGGGGTGCAGGGTGAGCTGGGGGCGGCATGGCCACATCAGAGTGCCTGGCCTGGGCGCTGCCGCCTTGCCTGCGGCTCGTCGGCCCGGCCCAACGTCACCGGGAGGCTCAGGGCCCAGGACCTGGGAAGAAACCCGGGGCTGACCTAGGAGCCCCTGCCTCCAGTACTGGCGACCCCCCTAGCACACGCCGCCCCCCCCCCGCCCATGGGGCCCACTTCTTCCTTGCTGGAGCATGGTCCGGCCCCCTCCCAGGTGCCCGCTGGGCCCCTAGGCCCAGGGCAGGATGTTTGCAGGTGACACATCGCACTATGCAGGCTCATGGGCTTCCATCAGGGCTGGAGCGCCAGCATCAGTGTGGTCAGAGGCGGGGCCCTCCCGGCCTCGTGGGGCCCGTGTCTAGTCTGCTGTGAAGGGCGCCAGCCCTCAACCCTTGATCCCTGGGGCCGAGCCGGAGCCATCGCTGAGAAGGAGGTTTAGCTGAGCCTGTGTTTTGACTTCCCGCGGGGAGAGCAGCTGGAGACTTAAGGCTCCCCTCCCCGGCTCCACCAGCCCCTGCCGACCCCGGGGGCCTGAGCCGTGGGAGCCGTGGGATCTGTGCCTTTGAAGCTGAGCCTCCCGCTGCCAGATCCCCCGCCTGGCCCCGGGAAGACGGGGCGCCCACTGCCCCCCCACTGCCACCCCCACTCGAAGAGGCCTTGTCGTCTGAACGAGGCCCCGAGCTGTGAGCACATGGGCTGGCAGTGGTGGGGTGTCCACCCAGCAGCGCCCCCTCCCAGCCTCTATCTAAGGGCGGAGTCCACAAGCTGATGGCCCGCCAGGATGGGCAACTGTGCCTGCCAGCCCTGGACCCTGGGCAGGACGTGGTCGTGCGCACCGTCTGCTTTCTCTGGGTCGGCTCACCCTCCTCGGGCATTGGGGTGACGTCCCTGCCAGGGGCTGGGGACATGAGGCACCGCCTGTCCTGCACACGTAGCCCTGTGGCAGGTGGGGTAACCTGGCAGGTAGAGGGCAGGGGCCCCAAGAGGAGTGTCGGGGGGGTGCCCCGGTCCAGGGAGACCACCTGAGGGCCCCTGAAATGCCCCCACCGAGGGGTGCATGCAGGGATGGGCTGGAGTTTCCGACTTGCCGGAACTTCCAACTTTCCAACTTGGCCGATGCCTCGGAAGCTGCGTGGCCCCGTTGGGCCATGTGTGTAGCCGAGCTGATCCTTCGCCTGCATCGCTCCACCACATGACCTGGGGTCCCTGGCCCTTGGAACGCAGCCCCGCCAGCGGGGAGGGGCTTAGGGATCCGGTCTGGGGCTGGGGGCATGTGGCATGCACTTAGCTGCTGCTTCTATACCATTTCTGTTGTCAGAGCCAGGCACTTTCGAAAGAAATCATGGCTCTCTAGCACAAAGTCAGCATTATGGGGCTTGAACGTCCTCTTGGAGTGACACGTAGGACCTGTTAGCATCTCACTTGCTGAGACGTGACCCGCGGAGGTGCAGTTCCAGGGTGGGCCCCCGGGGTCTCCTGAGCAAGTTATCTGTTACCACAGGCCACTTTGTGGACTTTGCTGGTAGTCCAGTGGTTGAGCATCCACCTGCCAATGCAGGGGACACAGGTTCGATCCCTGGTCAAGTAACTAAATCCCATGTGCCACAACCGAGATGTTGTGTGCCATAACTAAATACCCCACATGCCACAAAGAAGGCCTGGTGCAGCCAAATAAGTAAATATTTTTGAAAATAAAAAGTAAATAATTTAGACAAAAAAACCAATAAGCCCCTTTGTTTCTGGTTGTTCACCAGTTACAGGATTTTTTTTTCCATGCTTGATTTACTTTTTGAATAAGTATGACTATTAACTCTGTATAATTTAAAAAACCAAAATTGTATCATACGCTGTGTTTAGGGTTTCTCATTCATCTGCCCCCTCTCCTCCTGTTCTTGCGCTGTCCTTTCATTTTCTGTGCAGATGTGTGTGCGTGTGTACACCCTGCATATGTGCACGTGCATACCGTGTGCTCACTGCATGGATGCACACGTGCATGCACATGCACAGTGTGCCTGTGCAACATGTATGTGTTTGCATGTGTGCGCACGTGCATGCGTGTGCACATGTTTGAGGCCCTTGGCACTGTCAGTGCTTGATGTCTTACCAATTCTTAAGTGAACGTTCTGAGAAGGGTTTTAAATAAACCTGGAATCTAATGGAAACCTTCCACCTTGCTCTGTGTCCTTCAGGCCGAGTTCCAGAAACCTCAAGTCTGAATTTGGAGAAGGCTGGTGTGCATACAAACCCCGTCACTGGGAAGATCCTTGTTGATGCCCAGGAAGCCACCTCTGTCCCCCACATCTACGCCATCGGCGACGTGGCAGAGGTACAGCCAGCGCCCACTGCTCCTCGTCCCTCTGACCCTGGCCACCTCATCAGCCCACTGCTGTGGACGAGGCTCACGCATGCTCGGCGCCCTGGGACCTGGCTGCTTAGGCAGTGCTGTGTGTTAAAACGTGTGTGTGTGCCCAGTTGCTAAGCCATGTCCGACTCTTTGCGACCCCATGGGCTGCAGCCCGCCAGGTTCCTCTGTCCATTGGATTCCCCAGGCAAGAATACTGGAGTGGGTTGCCACTTTCTCCTCCGGATCTTCCTGACCTGGGGACTAAACCTGTGTCTCCTGCATCTCCTGCATTGGCAGGCGGGTTCTTTACCGCTGAGCCACCTGGGAAGACCGTTAATTAAGACAGTCACGACTAAAGTCCCTCTGAGCAGTCAGAAGCGCTCACCCCCAGGGCTCGGCTGCGGTTCGGGGAGACGTGTGTGCTGTGTGGGCCACGTGTACATTGGTCAGGCTGGTGGGGTGCTCTCTCGTTGCCAATCCCTGTCATTTCCAGAGTGTCAGACATCGGCGTTTCCTGCTGCTGTGGGGGATTAGCCCCTAGTCTCAGGCTGACACGCATGGGGACACGGGGCTGTGCCAGCTCTGCTCCATGGCAGGACACCTGGGGCAGGGGCCTCCGCAGAACGCGGTCCGATCCAGGCTCTGTCTTGGGCTCGGCGTGCTGGACCAGCTGCATGTCGGGGCCCTTGGGTGCTCCTTGGGCCTGTCTTAGCCCGAACCCCAGTCAATGGGAACTAGTGAATGGCGGCGGGTCTCGCTTGGGCTTTGCTGTGGGAACACTCTCCAAGAGCACTGGCATGAAGCAGGGCCCTGAGAGAAACCCCCAGTGGATGTGGGAGGTGCCGCTGGTGTGGCCAGCGTGGCTGGCATGGCTGGGCTCGATAGCACCCCACCCCCTCTTCCAGGGAGACTGGCAGCTCTCTAGGGTGCGTCGGAGGGGAGCACGCGAGAGTAGGAGGCAACCCGCATCTGGGGGTCTCTGGAAGGCAGAGGCCCCACTGCGAAGGCGGCGCCCCCACCGTGGGCCAAGCTGTAGTAACCCATGCTCCCTGCTTCCAGGGGCGGCCGGAGCTGACGCCCACGGCCATCATGGCCGGGAGGCTCCTGGCCCAGCGGCTGAGCGGCCGGACCTCAGACCTGATGGACTACGACAACGTGAGTGCCTCTGCTCTCCAGAGCCATGTCTAGCCTGTGTGAGGCTGCAGCTCGTTCTGGGGGCTTGTGTGTGTGTGCGTGTGTGCAAGCGTGCACATGTGACTGGACACTCTTGGTGTCCCTGGGGGATCTTTGCCCTGGACCCCCGGGGGCCTGCCTGATGGGGGCCTGCCCTCCAGGTCCCCACGACCGTCTTCACCCCCCTGGAGTATGGCTGCGTGGGGCTGTCAGAGGAGGTGGCTGTGGCTCGCCATGGCGAGGAGCACGTGGAGGTGAGTCTGGGCCCCGGGGGGGGGTAGCATGCAGGCCTGTGTGGCCCCCACCCCAGTGATGGCTGCCCTCACAGAGGCCGGAGGGCCGGCGGGAATATCGGAGCCTTGCTTCCCAGGGCCTGAGGCTCAGCAGGGCAGCATGGGGCCCCGCGTGATGGCTGCGACGGGCTGGGGGTGTCAGTAGGCATGGCAGGGACCAGGGGGCCTTGGAGCAGTGGCCCTCTCAGTGGCGAGCATGTCTACCACTGTCTGGAAAGTCTCCTCCTGCCCTCTACCCGCCTCCCCCCCTGCCCTCCTGCCCACTTCTGGTCCTCACGGGCCTCTGCCAGCCCAGTGTGGGCGTCACCCCGGAGGAGGGCTTGGTCACCAGACGGGTGCCTCTGGGGTCTGCTTTGGCCGCAGCGCGTGCCCCGAGGAGCTTGCAGGTGGGCCGGGAGGCACCAGACCCCACGAGGCCACCAGTGCGGCTGGCTTCCCTCTGGGAGGGAGCCCTGGGCTCCAGGGCCTGCCCCGTCCTCCATCAACTGTGCTTTATTTGCTATTTTTGTTTAATTCATCACAAGGGCCCTGGGACATGTGTCCGTGGCATTCCGTGATGTTGTTTTATGTTTCACAATGTTGAATGGCCAAATGCCCTTTGTTTGTTTTCTTTTCAATTCTGTCTCCGTTAGAACAATATTCTCTGAAGCTGCATTAATTAATAATGGCTGTGCAGCACATGTGAGCACCTTGCTCATTTTTTACGCGGCCGCAGCCCTGACCACGCTGTCGGCCCTTCTCGGGCGCTGAAAGCCTTTGTCCCGCAGTCGGTGGGGGCTGTGGTTGCCCCCCTGCTGGCTGGAGTGAGGGCCTGGAGAGCACTGGGGGCTGGGGAAACGGGACGGGCAGCTGGGCCCCCTCCAGCGCCCAGTCTGGGCAGTGTCCGCCTGGGTGGTGCCTGGGCCTGCTCTGAGCCCCGGGCTCTGGGGCAGGTCAGAGGGCAGCCTGCCTCACTGCCGCAGTTCTCCAGAGTCTCGGGCCTGCTGGGAGACGGTCTGTCCACAGGCTGCCGTGCCCAGGGGGGCGGGCGCCTGCAGGCCAGCGGGGCCTTGTCCTCAGCCCGGATCACAGCCTGCAGGCCCAGTGGGTGGTTGTGGCTCCCCCACCGCGCCCACAGCCTGACCCACTCGAGGAGGCCCTGGGGCTTGCTGTGCTGCAGTCAGTGACCCGGGAATCCTTGTCTTGCCGCCCAGGTTTACCACGCGTTCTATAAGCCACTAGAGTTCACGGTCCCCCAGCGGGATGCATCTCAGTGCTACATAAAGGTGAGCATCCCCCCGGGGGCCTGGGCGCACAGGCCCCGCCGCCCCCGCTGACCATGTGCCTTTCAGATGGTGTGTCTGCGGGAGCCCCCTCAGCTGGTGCTGGGCCTGCACTTCCTTGGCCCCAACGCAGGCGAAGTTACTCAGGGATTTGCCCTGGGGATCAAGTGAGTCCGCAGGAATGTCGGCCGATACGCCACTCGCAGGCTGCTCGGCTGTTGAGTCTGCTGCTTCAGACCGCTTGTCCGTGGGGTGGTGTTTTCAGAGAGCGTCCACCCGATGGGGCGGGTCCAGTCACCCGAAGCGTGGTCATGTTCATCTCTAGGACAGGCTTGTGGTCCTCGACCAGCCAAGGGGTCCCTGTGGGTCTTCTCTGCTCAGAATGAGTGCCCAGGCGGTCGGGAGCAGCTTGGCATCGCATGTACTGGGAGGGCCACCCAGCGAGCACATGTCCCCTGGAGCCAGCCCCGGATGCAGGCTGTGCATGGCGGGGTCCCAGGGCCCGTGCTGTGGCCGCTCCTTCGGGGCTGGGTTTCTGGGAGTGAAGGGGCTGGGCAGCTGGCAAGGGCTTTCAGACACAGGAGGGCAGAGGGGAGCGGGCTGGACTCACTTAGGGCCGTGTGCTCCTGGGGGCAGCAGGGGGCCTGGCCGGGCGGGTGGGAGGTGGAGTTGGCAGGTGTTCCTGGCTGCCGGCTGGAGAAGAGGGTAGGGGCCGGGGCTGCAGGGCAGTGAGGAGACTGACTTCGGGGCCCTCCCCCAAGTCCTGCCATCAGAGATTTCTCGGAAGTGGTGGGGGGGTGGGGGCAAACATGCCTCCCTGGACTAACTCATCCCCCACCCCCATCCCGCCGTGCAGGTGTAGGGCCTCCTACCTGCAGGTGATGCGGACAGTGGGCATCCACCCCACCTGTGCGGAGGAGGTGGCCAAGCTCCGCATCTCCAAGCGCTCCGGCCTGGACCCCACAGTGACCGGCTGCTGAGGCTAGGCGGCCATCCAAAGCCCGGGTGCTCGGCCCACTGCTGCCCCGGTGACCAGGTGTGCGTGCGGGGCTGGTCCTGTGTTTGAGGGGGCTGGGTGCACCGCCCACTGCTCTCCAGCTGCAGGTGACCCCGGAGAAACGGCTGAGAAGGGAGGGAGGCCACTCCAGACCCCGGCCGGGCTGCTGACGAGCAGGGGTGTCTGGAGGCCGGGTGCACCCACAGCACCTATTCTGGGGGGTGGGGCGGGGACACAGGGTGGGGAAACTCAGTGATCTCCCTTCTGCCTGCCAAGCCCAGAGCCACCAGGTCCTTTCCCTCTGCTCAGAAAGTGGACACACAGTCTCGTTCTGTTAGGCTTGGCAAAGCCACCAGGTAGGCGGCCAGAAGCCCTGGTGTGCCATTGGTCCTGAGCCTCTTCTTGAGGAAACCCCCCCTTGCCTCTGGTCAACGGGGTGCCTGTGGTCTGGGCCTTTCCACCTGTCAGCCGGAGGGGCTTCCCCCGGCCTTCACCTCCTCCTGGGTTGGGGTCCCCAGGGCCCCAGGGGGCTGTGGACAGAGCAGTGAGTGCCCATAAGATGCTCTCAGGCCAAAGGTTAGTGGGCCAGGCCCTGGCCTCTCCTGGGCATTCAGACACTGGTGCCTTCACAAAGCCCTATGACAGCTTCTGAGGAGCCTCATCGACTCGGCATTTCTAACAACGATGCCCCCACCTGATCGGGCAGGGCCGCCCTCGCCTGCTCTCTCATCCGACCCCCCAGGGGCCCTTCGTGTGGGGTGGGGTGTGGGGACGCGGGCTGCCCCACACTGACCCCCACCTTGGGCAGGACACTGGACTGACGCCCGAGCGCCCGGCAAGGATGGCCCAGGCCGGCACCGCACACCCCGGACCCTGCCAGATGATGAGGACCTGTGCGGAAACCCCCTGCGGGCTGCCCATGTCTGAGCCCCTGGCATTACCTGGCGTAAATAAAGAGGCTGTTTTCCGGAAGCATGCCCGGCCTGTGATGTCTTCCACAGGCCCACCTCCCCGCCGTGGGCTCAGGGGTGGCGGCGTGTGGATGGGGGCAGTGGGCTGCTGGGATGGGGGACGGCGGGGTCGGGGTTCTGTGCAGAGCCACCCGCCAGCGGCGTGGCCGGTGACAGGCGGTGGCCGGCGCTGAAGCCCCGTCCCCCGAGCGGCTCGCTCCCCTAGGGCCCCAGCCAGCTTGTCGGCTGGGCTCAGGCTTAATCCCGCGCGCGGAGGCCGACGGGGAGCGAGGCCCCCGGCACCTGTCAGTCAGGCGGAGGGACGGCGCTGACAGGCCAGGCAGGGCCCTGCATTGTGCTGGGGCTTTAGCAGCGGTTAATCTCGTGTCTTCCCTAAGAAAACATCATTCAGTCTGCCGCCCGGGAGCCCTGGGTGGGACCCTGCTTATAGCGAACAAAGGAATGTCTTTGCGCCTGGATAGGCTCGCGTGAAGCGCGCGCGACCGCCTTAGACACCCGAGCGAGACGCCGAGGGCCGCCGGGTCTCCGGCTAGAGTAGCCGACCGTTAAAGGCCCGGCGGGCGGTGCCGTGGGAGGGGCCCCGACGGTGGGCGGGGCCTCCGCCGCCTCGGGGTGGGCGGGGCCATGGGCGCCGGGCTGACCGCGTGGGGCCGGCGAGGCACGCAGGCGGCCTCACCTCTTCCAGTGACTCCGCGTGACGCAGCCGGGCGGCCGCCTCACCTCGATGCCCCGCAGGCCCTTTCCCAGCTGGGCGGCCTTGCTCCAGCTGTGCCTGTGGCACCCTCGTCCGGGCCGGTTGGCGTGGTTGGTGTGGCCGTGGAGGACAGAGCAGAGCCCCCCACGGTGCTCGGGCCAACCCTGGGGCGCCGCCTGTTGGAGGCCCCTCCCCAGCGCGGGGCTGAGCTGCGCCCCCGCCCCCCAGCGCGGTCACGGGCGGGGGCCTAGCCCCTTCGCAAGCCGCAGGGCCGCAGTGGGCCTGGCCCCATCCCAGTGCACCCTGCCCTGGGGGCTCCAGCGGGGCAGGCCTCGTGGACCCAGGCCCCCCTGCCCGCGCCCCGCGTTCGCGGAGGTTCCCACGTGCTCTCTGGTCTCACACCTGAGCTGGGCCGCAGGGGGTCCTGTCCTGGGCGTCCATCAGGCCTGCCTGGCTCCAAAGTTGCTCCCCGGCCCGGCCCAGCCCCCACCCCTCCCCACGGAGGGCGCAGGGAGGGGCCAGAACCCCACAAGCCAGGTGCTCTCCGCCTGGGCCCAGGGCCGCCTCCTGCGCCTTGGCATGTTTTTATGGTGCAATGAAAATATGACTTTAATTCCTTGGTTGTTTCATGTAACCTACAATTACCCCCAGGACGTCCTGCTCTCCTCCCCTTATGGCTGCAGGTTGTGCAGGGATGTGAGGCGAGCTGCCAATGCTGGGGCCAGCCCACCCCTCCCCTGCCTCACCCTCCCACCGCCCGGACTCCTCCAGCCCTCGGGGGTGCTGTCCCCAAGGCCCTGGGCTCGCCGGGGAGGTGGATAATAAGACATGAGAGTGACCTGTCCCCCAGGGCTGTGCTGAGGACTCACAGCCTCTGCATCTCACAGCCGTGCTGGGACCCCCAGCATCCCTGGGTGGGTAGCAGGGAGCACCCACCCCACACATGCTTCAGCCATGCTTTCCTGTGGCTGGAGGCCTGGCTGAACAGGTACCCGCCAGGCACGTCCAGAGTCCCTCCAGACGCAGACATCCTGTGACAACAGCTGGCATCAGGCAGCACCTACAGGTCAGGGTGTGTGGCCACACGCCAGGCGGCAGCTCAGAGACGTGGGTGATGCCCTGGCCTGAAGCAGGCACCCGCACTGGGCCCAAGACCCTCACCCACTGCTCGTCACCTGACGCGGAGCTGCCAGACGGCCCTGGGCCCTGCAAGAGGGACTCGTGAGTTGGCTGAGCAGTGTGCTCATCCAGAGGCCAGGCTGCCAGGCCATGTGACTGAGCCTTGCAGACCCCGCTCAGGCTCCTGGCGCCCCGCTCCAGTCAGAGCCCAACCCGCTCACGTCACTCTCAGAAGCTTCTGATCCTTAACGAGTTCTCCACGAGAAGCTCATGCCAGGTCAGGGGCTGTCCCCACCTGTCCCTGAGCCCCCTGGAAGCCACTTCCCTCCCCTGCCTGGCCCAGGGTCCCTGGGTGGCCTCACCTGGGCCTGTGCCCACTGGTCCCACTCAGCGCACCCTTGGGTCCAGGTCATTGCCAGAAACAGGTCGGGAGGTGCCTCCACCCTGGCAAGCAGGCCAGCAGGATGTCTGGGCCTGAGGTGACCGAACCCAGACAGCCCCATGAGTGTCCCTGTCCTGCCCCCGCCATAGTGCTGAGGTCCCACGGCACGTCATGCCACTGGCCCGGCCCCGTCGGGAGGCATCTCTGCTTGAACTAATGCCCCATCCCCATGGCCACGGACCGCACCCCTTGGACCTGATCTCCTGCAGTGCCTGGGGACCGAGAGGACAGCAGTGTGCAGCCTGCCCCCAAGGGTCCAGGGTCCTCCTCCTGCTGACCCGTCAGGTCTCTGGAGCAACCTCTGTGGTTGCTCTGGTAGGGAGGAGACCGCGAGGTGCCCGGCCTCAGGACAGGTGGGCCACAGCCTTCAGACCTGGGTCTGACGTCTGTCAGGGAGTGCAGCGGGTCCGCCCCCTGCAGACCCCCTGTCTCCCCATCTTCCCTCCCCCGGCCCACTCCTCCGTCGCCAGCCCCTGGAGGGCTCTCAGGTTTCCCAGCCTGCCCCAAGGGCTCTGGAAGCTCTGCATGCCCTGGGCCCCAGCCAAGCACCTGTGCCTCCCTGGGGCCAGCAGAGCCTCTTAGAGCTGAGCCTGCCTAATCCCTTATGGTGCTCGGGTGTCCCTGATCCCAAAGACCAAGCTGGGATCCCAGCGCTGTCAAACCGGCAGCAGGAGGACCCCCACCTCCCTCCATGTGCCTGTTGTCTGGAGCCAATTCCCGGTGGGATCAGGGCACCTGCAGGGTGAAGACCCAACCCTAACAAACTCAGGTGAACTCAGGAACCGTGGAGCCCTCGCTGCCTGGTACGTCCTGCCCCGTCCATTCCTCAGGCTGCCCAGTGGTGACAGCAGAAGCAAACAGGAGAGGGAAGCCTGTCTCAGGCTTCCCAGATGGCGCAATGGTAAAGACCTCACCTGCCAGTGCAGGAGACTCAGGAGGTGCGGGTTCAATCCCCAGGTCGGGAAGATCTCCTGGAGGAGGGAATGACAACCCTCTCCAGTATTCTTGCCTGGAGAATCCCATGGACAGAGGAGCCTGGTGGGCTAGAGTCCCTGGGATCACACAGTCGGACACGACTGAGCATGCACAGGCCTGTTTCAAGCCTCGAGGCTCTGGCTCTAGGGTTTCATGGGAAGGTAATCCTGCCTTGCAATTCCACAAGGTTATGTTTGTTGGGTTTTTTTTCCCCTAATAAAATCAGGATCTTTCTGGCATAAAACTGATGATCAAGTAACACCAAAAGCTTGGGAATAAAGTGGGACCAAGAACAAGAGGCTCTATGGCCTCGCTACGTAGCAGCTGGTGGTCAGGAGCCCGCGGGCCCCACTCTCTGCCCCAGCTGCCAGTCACTGACCCAGCAAGGGCTCCAGGCACTGGGCATGCCCTCCATGGGCCCTGTTTCATAGTGATGTTAGCTAGAGAGGCAGCCCGTGACTGTGAGCATGGCGAAGAGGCCCTGGTGCTCTTCGTGTCTTTGAAGACTTTTTCACACCCGAAAGTTTCCCCAAGCAGACCTAAGTTGCTCCTGAGGTCCCAGCATGGTTGAGATGTGGGACAGAACAGGAAGCAGTCAAGCAAGACCTGGACGCATTTCCTTCGGGCTCTACCAGACAAGACAGACCGATGAGCAGACCTCCCCTGGGCAAAAGCACTGAGGGGCGCATAGGTACAGCCAGGCCCCTGCCTGTGGGAGAGGGTGGACAGGAGGCGAGTCCTCCGCACAGCCTCAAAGGTGCATTGTCCTGCCCCGGTGGCTGAAATCGGGCCGGGTGATGGTAATAATAATGTCCTGATGCTCAGCCAGCGGTCGGGTTTCCATAGCTCAGGGAGTATCTGGTTTTCAAAGGGGAGACGTCATACAAGTGCAGTGTTGTTCCCGTAAGCCGTTCTCTGCAGGTCAGAGGCCCGCCTGGCGCCTGCCTCCTCCCAGAGACGCGTGCCCATCAGCGCCTGGGCACACCAGGGGAGGAGCTGCACCGGGATGCCCTCCCACCCACCCTCCAGGGCCACCAGTACCAGGTCCTACTGAGGAGAGGCCCACACCGGGGCCTGGAGCCTCTGCCCAGCCGTGCGTGTCCCTGCTTCCCGGCTGCCCTGGCTCTGGGGAGCCACAGACCTGACACCAACTGAACACGTGAGGCTGACCACTGCCTCTGGGCCTCCCAGTCCAAACACACACCCAGCTCCAATGAGCACAGGAAAAGATGCTCAAAATCGCTGGTCACTAGGAAAATGTAAATCAAAACCACAAGGTCCCATTAGGCCAACTATAATTTAAAAAAAAAATATGTGTGAAGATGCAGAGAAATTGGAACCCTTGTGCACCGTTGGTGGGAATGAAAAATCATGCAACCACTGTAGCAAAGTTTAGCAGTTCCTCAAAAAGTTAGACATAGCATTACCACGTGACCCAGCAATTCGACTCCTTGGCATACATCCTAAAGAAATGAAAACAGGTAATAAAAATAAATTAAAAAAAAAAAGAAACCCATACAAAAAAAAAAAAAGAACTGAAAATTACAGGGACTCAAACAAATATTTGTATACCCACATTCACAACAGCATCAGCCGCAACAGCCAAAAGATGGGAGGAACACGAGTGTCTACCAACAGATGAATGGATAAACAAAATGTTTTATACACGTACGAAGGAATACCATCCAGCCCTAAAAAGGAACAAAAATTCTGATAGGTGCCACACAACGTATGAACCTTTAGAACATTCTTCTAAGTGACATGACAAATACTTGAGACCACTTACATGAGATACCTAGAAGAGGTAAACTAACACAAAGTAGAATTGAGATTCCCAGGGGCTTGGGGCGTGTTTAACGGGGACAGAGTGCCCATTTGGGGTGATGCAAAAGTCCTGGAGGTGATGGTGATGAAGTTTGCCTAACAATATGAATGTACTTAATGCTACTGAATGTATACTTAGAAATAGTCATGATAAATGTTAATTATTACATTTTACAATTAAAAATACATATACATAGATGACCTGAACAACAACAAAAAAGCGTTCTGGACCCAAGAATGTGTTTTCTGACCGCATGGCCCAGCTGGATGAGTGCCCTGTACAAAGCCAGCTGCCCACTCTCCACTGACCTCCCTGAGCTGCCAAACTGTCGGGAACTCCCCCTCTCCTCTGAAGCAGGAAGTTTAAATTATCAGGTCAATTAGGAAAGACACAACCGAAAAATACAAGTTTCATTCACACTTCCAGGAGGCGTTTCCTGGCTGGGTGCCACCTCTATTATTTTTGGCGAGGCTGTTGAAAGGCCCACAGACCCTGAGAAGGTACAATATAACCTTTGATTCCGTTTCAAGGATCAAAGCAAGTAAGCTTGGGTGCAAACGCAGATAACATTTCAGGGACGGTCTCATGAAAGGAGTCGCTAGACCAGGGCAGAGAGGGGGCTCGTGTGACACCACTCCCGGTGACCTCGGCCCTGGTAACCCGCCCGCGCGGGGCGGCCCCGGGGAGTCCACTCGGAGGGCGCCAGCGGCCCCCGCAGCTGCGCTCTCGGGGTCCGCGCCGGCTCCCCCCGGCTCGCCCACGGCGGACAGTCCTCGGACAGCCCCGCCCTGTCGCTCCGGGGCGCAGGTCCGCGCTCGGCCCTAGCCGGGCCTCCACGACGGGCACTCTGCGGACACGCCGTCCAGCGGGCGGGCGACGCAGCCCTTCTGTGCCAACCCTCCCGGTACCCCTCCTGGCGCTCGGCAGGAACTGAGGGTAAGGGCCGCGCCCTCAGCCGGCGGAGGCCGGGGGCGCCACGACCCCTCAGCAGCGAGCCAGCCCTCAGCCCCGCGACTCCTACAACGCCCGACTCAGCCCCGGCTGCGCCTGCGCACGCGGCCACAGCGCGCGGCGATCCGCGGGGCTCAAAGCAGAGCGCGCTCCCATCAACCCCCGCGCCTCATCGCCCGTGGGCGGGGCCGGAAGCGCCTGCGCGTTCGCAGCCCCCGGGCGCAAGGCGCAGGCGCGGGCCCCTCCGGGAGACCGGCGTTGGGCGTGGCCGCGTCCGGCGTGGGGCCGTAAGGGGCGGCCGCGCGCACGCAGGGGGCGGGGCCCACGTCGCGGCGGGGCCGGCAGCCTGGCCGCTTGGGTCTGCGATCCTCAGAGCTTCGGCAGGCGGGGTCCACGTTCTTCTTTCTCTCCCGACCTCGGCCCGCGCCGTGCCGGACCTGGCCTCGCGCGGCCGGTCTCTCCCGCTCCGTGCGTGCCGTCGAGGGAGCGGCACCGTTGTGGCGCCGCGCGGCCGCAGGCAGGTGGGCTTGGTGCGGCGGCGCGCAATCCGGGGGAGGGCCGGGCGGGCTGGGCACCCGGCTCCCTCAGGTGGCGCGGGCGGGCGGAGCGGGCCGGGGCGCGGCCGCTGCCTCCCCTCGCCTCGCGGGGCCGGGGCCGGAGTGCTCCATGGGCAGCGCGTTGTCAGCGGCCGGTGGGACTCTGTGCTGCTGGGCAGGGCCGTGCGCGGCGTTCACCTGTCGCCTGCGGCCTCTGTCGCCCGAGCGTGTCATTGTCAGGGTGGGACGGGCTTTTGGGTGGAAGACCTCCTACCCCAACATGCACACACAGAGGAGAGGGTGCGGAGGGAGGTATCGGGGGCCACCCTGGGGTGCGGGGCGGAAGGACCTACATGCCGTGCCCCCTAGAGGAGCTCTGGCACATGGGGGACAGATGGTCCCGCGGGGAGCCGTCCCGAAGGTGAGTGCAGGCCGGCGTCTGTGGGCGACAGGTGGAGGGGGCGGGTGTGGAGCCTTGTTGGCGAAACCGCCCCCGCAGGGGTGAAGCGAGGCACGCTGTGCCGACCACCGGTGGGCGTCCTTTTGCAGGGACACTGGGGAGGGGTTGGCCGTCAGGCAGGCTCGCTGCATCTGATGGGAACCGCCCCTTTTTCTCTGCTCTGTGCTGCTTTGGCCCGCTCTAGCAGGTGGCCCTTTGCGTGGTGACCTTGGGGTGGTGAGAGTAGACACAGCAAGTGGAATTAAAGCTGTCGGCCAGGAGGGGCTGGATGCCAGGCTGTTGACAGGGAGGGGGATGCAGGGAGGAGGCCCTTGGGGTGGGGGTGGCTGCCTTGTGAGTAGGGACAGGGGTCTGCACGGGGGTGGGGGTGGGCTGGAGGGCACGTGGATAACAACTGCAATGCTCTTGGGGTCTCGTGACACTGAGCACCTGAGTGCAGGGCATCGGTCCGCGGGACTGTGACGCGTCATGGGTGACGGGGGTGATGAGTGCTGGAGCAGGCCAGGGTGGTCTCAGGCCAGGGTCAGCTGTATCTTCACTTAGTGGTTGGCATTTGGCCGCAGACAAGTGACTTCACTCACCCCCGCACCTCAGGCACGGCGAGAGGACTGGCCTCGGTGGGTCAGTGTTCGCTGTGAATAGAGCCCCCCATGACCCTCCTCCTGAAATTCCCTGACAGCATCCAGGCTGTCCGAGGAAGCCCGGGGGGACCTGACCTGGGTCCTCCTCCTCCTGGGTGGACATGTCCGCCATCACACCCTGTCCTTGAAGGGGTCAGGCGGTGTTTGCCTGCCTTCTTGGCCTCCCCAGTGGGCCTCCAGTTCCCTCACATGGAGAGGTCTGGTGGGGCCCGGGGTTGGCCACCCAGTGGTGATGGTGGGGCCTCCTTCCCACTCCTCCTGCCTTGTTTTTGGACAGATCGCCTTGGATGGTGGCCTGCAGCTTTCGGTCCCATCGGCTCTCCTGGGCTCTCCTGTTGCGGTTGCAGTCAGCTGCCCGCTCAGCACTTGCCTGGAGCGCCCCTCTTCAGCCGCCTGTGCCTGTGCGTCCGTTGCTTCGGCCTGCTCTCCGGGCCCCTCTCCTCGTGTCCTCCCTGGTTGGCGCAGCAGCTCCCGTCCACTCCCAGCAGGCCTCGTCACAGTGGCAGGGCCCTCACTACCCTGTCCGGGTGGCGGCCAGCTGAGCCACACACATCCCTGGCAGCAGATGCACGGGGCCTCTCCTGGGGTCGTGGACGCACCCCCAGCGGATCCCTGGATTGAGTGCTCCTACTGTGGGGACCCCGTGTGTGTACACGACTGTGGAGCAGACGAGCTCGGCGAGCTCGGTGCTGTGTCGCAGACAGGGCCGCCCCTGCGTGCCGGGCTCGGTCCTGGGCGCCTTCGATAGCGCGCCTTGGCTGCTGGACCGATTCCTGGCGCAGCTGGACAGTTACCTGACCTCCCGCTTCGAGCACCACTGGGACAACCTCAGGCGCCTAACAGGCTGAGCCTGAGTGTGGGCAGCCCCCTGCCTCCATGGGGACTGGGTACAACCATGGGCTTTATCCCCAGGATCTTGAGGAGGTTATTCAATCCCCAGACGGCCCTGCCGAGTGCCATGCAGCAGTGCCCTGGGCTCTGCCTCCAGCCTTGAGCCGGCCACCGGTGGCCCCACGGCTGCCCGTGGTGAGAGTGCTCACCTAGGCTCTCAGAGGCCCGGCGCGCAACACGGGCATTCTGCCCGGGCACTCCGCCCAGGCCTGGCCCCACTGCTCTGGGCTTTCTGCTGTTCCTAGTTCAACTCCACGTCCAGAAATGCTCTGAGCAGCCGCTGGCGACGGAGGGCACCCCAGGCCCATGGGGCCCCCTGCCTCGTCCAGCTCTGCACACAGTCCTGGTCCCACAGGGCCAGCCGCCCCCCAGCCAGGGCAGGTGCCCTCAAAGCTGCCCCTCCACATACGGGACTGGCCAAGCCCCTGCCCAGAGAACAGGTCCCTCTAGCCCAGGGTGTCCAGGATTCACCCTTAGGTTCCCCCCGGGGGCAGTGGACACTGCCAAGACCCCAGAAAAGCCACCGTTCCGACCCTGCCCCCGTCTGCGGCCCCATTGGAGCACGGGCTGTGCAGGTATGGCGGTGACCCGGGTGAAGCGGCCTGCATGCCCCCGTCATGGCGGGGTGGCCCCGCTGGACACTAGGTGTGGCTCCGGGTGGTGCCTGGGCCCAGCCCCGCTGCTGGGTGGAAGGTGCGTGTGTTCAGGGTGGCTGGGCACAGGCAGCTCTCCATGAGCCCCACGCCCTCCCCAGGGGGAGCTGCAGCGGCGTGGTGGTCTCTGCCTTGTGCCCCTCATCCTCCAAGCCCCCAGTGGCCCCCAGAGCTTGGGGGGGGCACTGCCGGCAAGTGGACCGAGGTCCCAGGATCATCCCCGTCGGACATCCGTGTGGGCTGGTCCCCACCCCTTCCATGCTGGGATGCCCGGACCTGCGTCCCCACCCTCTGGGCTCCTGTGTGGCTGTGGCATCTGCTCTCGCCGCTGCCCCAGGCTTTGCCCCGTGTGCCCATCCTCGGGGCAGGAAGTTAAGGCCGCCTGGAGGAAGTGGCTGTTTTCAGTCTTGGGTCTGAGTGGGAGGGCCTTGGTGAGGAAGGGTGCCCCCGGGGCTCATAGCCGCTAGCCCGCCGGTTGGGCACCTCCCAGGTCCAGTCTCATCAGGGCCGCGCTGCCCTCTTTGGCCGTCCAGCCCACTGCACGCCTGCCTCAGCCCGCACACCTCGTGCTGTGACGGCCACGTCCCCAGCAGACGGCGAGCCCTGCGGCGGGGCCTCCAGCAGTCGGCCTGGTGTCCCCGGCACACGGGCAGGGCCATTAAACGTGCATGGGGTCCATGGCCAAGCATGAGTCATGTCTATGGTGGGAGGGGCCGGGGCCAGCCGCGAGCACCTGGCCAGTGTCGCAGGTGAGTCTCCTGCCTGGGCCATGGGCATTGCGGGGTCTGGCTGAAGGAGTTGGGGCTGAAGCAGGGGGCGGGGGGGCTCAGGGGAGCAGTGTGGCCCCAAGGACCAGCTTCCAGGCTGGCGGCGAGGGGAGGAGTGGGCCCCAGACCAGGGCTGTGAGGTTCGGGGCCGGGCCATAGTGACCAATCCTCTGCTCGGGGCCGGGGCAGGGGTCCTGGTGGTGCGCGCTGAGGCACCTCGGGCCAGTCAGCAGAGAGGGGCAGGCACACTGGCTCCCATGGGTGGCTCGGCCTGTGCTTCAGGACCCTGTGGGTCTTAGAGTTCTGGAGAAGACGGAAGAAGATCAGTCGAAACCTAAGTGCGACTGATAAGTCATTCTAGAAAAAACGAATAACCAGGTGGTAAAACATTTTAAGTAAAATAGACATCATTGGCATTATTTCACTCTCTACCATGCTGGAAGAGCCTCTGGGTCCACGCGCGTTATTTCATGTCACAGACACCTTGTGAGTAGAATAGCTTCGAGTCTGGAAGCAGGGGGAGGCTGCAGTTCAGTCCCTCAGTCGTGTGCAACTCTTGTGACCCCCTGGACTACGCCCCCCGGCTCCTCTGTCCGTGGGATTTCCCAGGCAGCAGTACTGGAGTGGGTTGCCACTTCCAGCATTTCCTGCTCCAGGGAACCTTCCTGACGTGGGGGTTGAACCCACGTCCCCTGCATTGCAGGTGGATTCTTTACCACCGAGCCCCCATGAAGGCTGGTGGGAGGAGGCGGATACAGCAAAGCAAGCTTGCAGGTGGGAAGTGAGTGCCGTCTCATCTCTGATCTGATGGAGGGGTCTGGATGTTCCTGCCCCTCCTGGTGGCACTGCGGCCCCAGTGGGACTGCATCCGTCCAGCCTGGTCAGCCAGGGCCTGGCCTGCTGTGGGTTGGGAGGGCAGGAGGGCACTGACCTGGCCTTTCCGTTAGGTGTGGACTTGGGGGCGCGGCTGACCTGTTGACACCGACGTGGACTGCTTGGTCTTGCATCCTAGCAGTCTCGGGTTGCCGGCATGAGTGCCCCTCCAACCTCACCCCGCGTGCCGAGCTGCTCAGCCCCAGGCAGCAGTGTGAGGACGTCGCCCTGCTCCCCCAGTTTGGACGCTCTACCTCCATGTGGCTCAGGCCGCCTGGCCTCGGCAGCCCCTCCCCGCCCTCCCGGTCCTGTCTCCCCGTCACCGGCGCATCTGAGTGGCGCCGGACTGGCCAGTGGCGGGGGTGAGCCCACACCTGCCCATACAGGAGCAGCCTGCTCGGGCCGCCTGCTGGCTGCCAAGGAGCCGTAAGTGGGTGCGCCTTTTACCCCCATGGGTGTGGACCCCTCCAAGTTACCTGGAGCTTCCTGCTGCCAGCCCGCAGCCGCGTCCCAGGCCCTGCAGAGCACCACCGGGCACCGTGGTCAGCCCTGGGTTGCTGGGCCCTGGGGAGCAGACCTCCTGGCGGGAGTGGGGCCCCCAGGTCTGCGCCCGGGAACAGGCCCACATCCTGGGCAACGGGGGCCTTTTCCACACCCGCACTGGGGACAGGCAGGCCAGCGGCCTGTGGCTGGCTGGGGTCCCACCCTGCCCGTAAGTGCCGGCAGCCGGCCGAGCACACCCACATGGCCTGCCTTCCTGCCACGTCCGACTCCTGGGCTAGCGACCCCTCACCCTGGCGTTGCCTCCTGGCCCATCCCGCCATCCCAAGGGGTCTGATGGGTGGCTGCGTGCCCGTGGCTGTAGGTCAGCCCCTGCGGCTCGTTTGGGTGAGGCCAGGCCACGGAGGTACTCGGGGAGCAGGCCATGCTGAGGCGGGTTGCTGGGCAGGGCCGTCGGGCTGCCCCTGACTGCCCTCCCCACGCATGGCCACACTAGGCCCGGAGGCGGGGGTGACGGGTCAGGGACAGGGTGCAGGTTGGGGTCCCTGGGTACCGGGTTCCTGCCCCCACCCTGGGCTCCGAAGCCACCTGGGGCGCTGGCCTGGCCCCCACCCCCTCGCGGCCCCAAGCTGCCTGCCTAAGCCCCTCCCAGGTCTGCATCTTTGAAGCCACAGATACTGACAGAGGATCCAGTGAATCCAAGGTCGCCCGGCGGGCGTTGACAGACAGCCGGCCACGATACTATTTCTGATTTAATAACCAAATGGGGGCCGGCCCTCAGTAATAATTAGGGCTAATTACTGAGGAGGTGTTGACAGACCGGCTGAGAGGAAACAAACCACCTTTATCCCGGGCTTAGAGTCGGGTTTCGCGGCGCTATCTGCCCTCCGAAAGGAGACGCTTCAATCACTCACCGAGGCTTCAAAGGGGCAGGGGCCCAGCAGGGCGGGCACGGGAGGGCTGTGACGCACGCCTTTGACTCCGTGGCCAGCCGCTGTCCCAGAGACGCTCCTTTGTGCAGTTGGGGTCCCAGGCAGACCCGCCGTTGCACCACCTGGGCCAGGGCTCCATGGGCGCGGCGGGCCTCCCGGGCGGGCAGGGAGGCTGGCGCGTGTCCTAGGCCCAGGGAGCAAGCTGCAGGGAACGGGCCGGGCTCTGTCCTGGACCCTGGACCAAGGCTTCCCTGCAGCATCATAGGCAGGCCCGGCCTCCTGGCGGCGCAGGGCTGGGCCGCCCCCACCAGCGAGCCAGCACTGTGGACAGGACGCTGACCCATGGGCCTCAGCAACAGGACCACCGTGCCGTGTCACAGGCTCCCCCAGACCTCCCCGTGGCTCCGAGCTGGGGGAGTGGCGGGCAGACCTCCTATCCAGCCAGGAGGCTGTCCAATCATGGCCCAGGCCTCCGGGGGTGTGATGCAACTTCCAGGGGCCAGTCCTGGGTTTGGGCCTTGCCGTGGTCAGGGCTGATCAGGGCGGTGGAGGACGATGGCCTGTCCAGGTGCGGCCCAGGAGGCTCAGAGGGAAGTGTCTCAGTTTTTCCCGCCTGCAGGACCACAGGGCATTCCTTAGGGCATGCCCACTGGCGGGGCCATGCCGCGTGAGGGAGGCCTCTCACTCCCCAACTCCCCTCTGCTCCAGGAGGAGCTGAGAGCGTGCTGACGAAGGTTCCCAGGCAGCTGCTTAGCTGAGTGCGGACCACCTTCTGTGGGGGCCGCTATTTATGGGTCTAAGTCTCAGTTCAGTTAAGTCGCTCAGTCGTGTCTGACTCTTTGTGACCCCAAGGACTGCAGCACACCAGGCCTCCCTGTCCATCACTAACTCCTGGAGTCCACCCAAACCCATGTCCGCTGAGTCGGTAATGCCATCCAGCCACCTCATCCTCTGTCGTCCGCTTCTCCTCCCACCTTCAATGTTTCCCAGCATCAGGGTCTTTTCAAATGAGTCAGCTCTTTGCATCAGGTGGCTGAAGTGTTGGAGTTTGAGCTTCAGCATTACTCCTTCCAGTGAATATTCAGGACTGATTTCCTTTAGGATGGACTGGTTGGATCTCCTTGTAGTCCAAGGGACTCTCAAGAGTCTTCGCCAACACCACAGTTCAAAAGCATCAATTCTTCGGTGCTCAGCTTTCTTTATGGTCCAACTCTCATATCTGTAGATGACCACTGGAAAACCATAGCTTTGATGAGACAGACTTTTGTTGGCAAAGTAATGTCTCTGCTTTTTAATATGCTTTGCATACAGATTTCTCAAGAGGCAGGTCAAGTGGTCTGGTATTCCCATTTCTTTAAGAATTTTCCAGTTTATTGTGATCCACACAGTCAAAGGCTTTGGCACAGTCAAAATGTCAACATAGTCTGGCACAGAAATAGATGTTTTTCTGGAACTCTCTTGCTTTTCTGATGATCCAGCGGATGTTGGCAATTTGATCTCTGATTCCTCTGCCTTTTCTAAATACAGCTTGAACATGTGGAAGTTCACGGTTCATGTATTGCTGAAGCCTGGCTTGGAGAATTTTGAGCATTACTTCACTCGCGTGTGAGATGAGTGCAATTATGCAGTAGTTTGAGCATTCTTTGGCATTGCCTTTTTAGGGATTGGAATGAAAACTGACCTTTTCCAGTCCTGTGGCCACTGCTGAGTTTTCTAAATTTTCTGGCACATTGAGTGCAGCACTTTCACAGCATTGTCTTTGAGGATTTGAAATAGCTCAACTGGAATTCCATCACCTCCACTAGCTTTGTTCGTAGTGATGCTTTCTAAGGCACACTTGACTTCACATTCCTGGATGTCTGGCTCTAGATGAGTAATCACACTATTGTGATTATCTGGGTCATGAAGATCTTTTTTGTATAGCTCTTCTGTGTATTCTTGCCACCTCTTCTTAATATCTTCTGCTTCTGTTAGGTCCATACCATTTCTGTCCTTTAGTGAGCCCACCTTTGCATGAAATATTCCCTTTGTATCTCTAATTTTCTTGAAGAGATCTCTAGTCTTTCACATTCTGTTGTTTTCCTCTCTATCTTTGCATTGATTGCTAAGGAAGGCTTTCTTATCTCTCCTGCCTATTCTTTGGAACTCTGCATTCAAATGGGTATATCTTTCCTTTTCTCCTTTGCTTTTCATTTCTCTTCTTTTCACAGCTATTTGTAAGGCCTCCTCAGATATCCATTTTGCTTTTTTGCATTTCTTTTTCTTGGGGATGGTCTTGATCCCTGTCTCAAGTACAATGTCACGATCCTCCATCCATAGTTCATCACACACTGTATCAGGTCTAGTCTCTTAAGTCTATTTGTCACTTCCACTGTATAATCGTAAGGGATTTGATTTAGGTCATGCCTGAATGGTCTAGTGGTTTTCCCTGCATTCTTCAATTTCAGTCTGAATTTGGCAATAAGGAGTTCATGATCTGAACCACAGTCAGCTCCCAGTCTTGTTTTTGTTGATTATATAGAGCTTCTCCATCTTTGGCTGCAAAGAATATAATCAATTTGATTTCGGTGTTGGCCATCTGGTGATGTCTGTGTGAAGAGTCTTCTCTTGTGTTGTTG